TCATGGTCCTCCAGGACCAGAACTGGACCCTGCTGGTCTGACATCAGCTGATAAACTCACAGCATCTTCCTGTCAACAAACCAAACAAATCGTAGCGTGTCTGTGTTTAACGAGCTGAACTTTAGCTGAACTCTTAATTAAACTTTCTTCACTAATTATCACCGAGCTGAAAGCTAACTGGTTATTGAGTCGCTGCCTCCGGTTCTCTGTGCCGATCTGGATCTTTATGGATAATTGGATCCATGTCCGACCCGAGGACGGTAAACAAACTGCAGCGGGGTCACGGAGGGTCCGCCTCGGTCCACAAAGACCGGTCTCCTCAGGACTTTGATGGTTTTAGCTGAGCTGCAGCGTTGTCAGCTGAAGGCTAGTTGTGTTTTTTAATTGATGTGTAAAATGAATGTTCAGGATCACAGATGTGAGGGTTTCTCCTCAGASAGCAGCTTGTTGAACAGGAAGCTGGAGGTTTCACCTGCAGGTGGTCTTTAAAGCCCTCCACAGAGTCCTGGATCTGTTTTCTTCCGTCTGAAAGGACAAACTCTGCGTGAGCTCCACACGACGTGAACCATGTTCATGTCTCCGTCTCACACGTCCCGTCCCCTAAACTCTTAAAGTGAGCCMCTCAGAGGTGAGAGTCAGTCAGCAGGACTGAACACACCATTACACACCCATCAGTGTCCCTGTGGGACGGAGACACCGCAGCTCAGCTGTCCTCTGCTGCTCGTCCTTTAAAACCCACCGTAAACTGCAGCAGGTGGGGGTCCGGCTGGTAAACACAGACGTCTTCTCTGGCTGCAGATTTAATCTGAGCTTCTGAGACTCTGTGGGAGAAGACGTGGTGTCTCTCAGACCAGAGGACAGCTTCCACAGAAACATCCAGAAATAAATCTGATAAACTAATACTAGTCCCATTCAAGATGGCCGCCACGGCTAGGCTACATTAGCTAACTGTCCCTTTAGTTGTCCCTTCTGTCCATCTGTAAGACAGTGCTCAGTTAGTTGTCCCTGCTGTTCAGCTGTTTAGGACAGAAAATGTCCTCAGACTGTCTCTTAGTTTTAAAGCTGCTTTTTAACGTTTTTAAACCAGGACTTCTCAAGATATTTGGGTCTGGGGACCCTTTACCAGGGCAAAAATTTCCAGGGACCCCCTCATAAACCCCATGCTGTTTTAAGATAATTTATCATCATTTCAACTCCTAAATGCCATGGGAATATATATTTTATTTAGTTTATTTCTTTAATTAGTTCAGTGTTCTCTATGCATTAAAAAAAACAAATTAACAATTTAGTGGAATTTTTTGAGGACCCCCAAGATACCTCTCATGGACCCCTGGGTGTCCTTGGACCCCAGTTTGAGAACCTCTGCTTTAAACAGATTGTTTACATCATCTTCTTCATCATCATCATCATCAGCCTGACCTTTGACCTCTCCTCAAGTAATTAATTTTAAATCCTCATATTTTGCTAACAGGTGGATCAAAAACAGTTGTTTTTAGATTTGTTTCAGTTGACAGATTTCTAATCCTCATGTTGTTTGTTTGTGTGTTTGTTTGTTTGTTTGTTTGTTTGTTTGTTTGTTTGTTTGTTTGTTTGTTTGTTTGTTTGTTTGTTTGTTTGTTTGTTCAGGTGTACGAGCAGGACGACCTGTCGGAGCAGATGGCCAGCCTAGAGGGGCTGATGAAGCAGCTCAACGCCATTACAGGCTCCGCCTTCTAACCTCAGCTCCCAGCCCAGCTCCGGGATGGCCCCGCCCCTGAGCCAGTCTGGCCCCGCCCCTTCAGGYCACGATGCCACCTGGACTCGGTCTGCCCGGGTCTGAAGCTGGATCCAGTTCTGGTCCAGGTTTATCTGCTGGGATCTGGATTTTTTTTTTAAAAAAAGGGAATAAAAACTGATAAAAATTGCAGCTGATCCACTTGGACTTTAGAACCAGGACTAGTTCTGAGGGGTCTCCTTTTGGAAACTCAGACCCCCTTTAGATCCGACCTCAAACATAAAAACTGAAAAGTCCCACGCCTCGGGCGTCCCCCGAACACATCAGGAGGAGTCGACAGAAACCTGCTGGTGGTTTTTAACTAGTCTCCTCTGCTCAGAAACTGGACCTGGACCTGGACCTGGACCTGGACCTGGACCTGGATCTGGACCTGGACCTGGATCTGGACCTGGATCTGGACCCTCTGTAGGATCATTTTAATGTTTTACAGGAGAAGAACCAAACATCCTCAGCCACCAAAGTCTGACTTTAGTTTTCATGTTGTGGAGAAAACAGGAAGTGAACGAGATGAGTCCTAAACCCAGAAACCCTTCAGACCACCGGACCACCGGACCACCAGACCACCGGACCGGTCTCTGAGTCCTGCAGCAGTTCTGTTAAAACGTTTCCAGCTGTACTCGTCCTGTCGTCACATCAGAACCAGTTATTTATGTTTTAAAAAGCAGGAGAAGTTCTGTTGATGAACAGGGTTTATTTGAACGGCTCCTCGCAGCAGAAACTGGGTTTTATAAGAAAAAAAAACATAAAAAAGCAACAAAAAGATTCCTCCAAAGTCTATTTTTACATGTGGTGCCGTGCAGAGCGAGACTTCAGCCACCGTGAAGAGAGAACCTGCAGCTTTGCAACAGATGGAAGTGATGAAGTGGGCGGGGCCAGGACGGGGGGCGGGGGGAGTTAGCGTAGGTTTAGCCAGGTGTACACTGTGAAAAACAACCCTGAAAGCTTCTGGCTTCAGATCTTTTGTCTTCTCTGCTGCTGCAGCAACCCACTGTTCAACCCCTCGCTCTGACAACAAGACGGACTCTGATTGGACGGCTGACTCGGGTTTAAAACGACRAGTCGTTGATCAGAAACAACAGAATCAGTTTGCTTCATGTTTACCGCCGTGGCCTCAGCCTGCTGGAGTCTTTTATCTGTGATGAAAGCAGCGAGGCTGGATTCATATTCAGCTCCGGTCTGGACTCTCGGGACCGGGCCGGGAATTCATCATAACGTGGTTTTTATTATTACGATTCAAACTCACGCTCTGAGGCCCGGAGACGGGAGGTGGCGCCTCGGAAGGACGAGTGCCGCCGCGAAAGGTGAGGGAGGGATCAAACTCATCAGAGTCTGCTGGGATACAGTACATCCTGTGTGAGGAAGAGCAGCCTCCTCCTCCTCCTCCTCCTCTGCTGGAGACAGGCCCAATAAAACCAGAGTTAAATTGGATTTTATCCATAAATACTAAACTGATTCCTGCGAACAGGAGACTTCTTCACAGCAGCGAGAGTAAAAGCTGATTTTTAAATTTAGTTTCATCTCGTTGGAAATCAAACTTCTTTTAAAAACTTTCATTTTATTTGTTGAAACATCTGAGCTGCTTCATCAGAAAACACAACCAGGGGTGGGAACAGCTGACCAAAACGTTAGCTCCACTAAACAAGAATCTTAGCTACGCTAACGCTAAACTGCTAAACACTTAAACCGCTAAGATGACGAGTGGGACCGACTCAAACCCGCTGCTAGTTTTCTTTTGGTTTCATGTGAAGGTGGGCGGGATCATCTGTAGCAAATCGGCCAATCCAAACCAGARTTACAGCTCTAACTTGTGATAGATGCCCCTTTCAGAATAAAAGCATTTCTTTGATTGGGTTAGTATTTTAATAAATTCCATTTCAAGTTAGCAAAACAACAAACAAAAACTTTCTGTACCATTTTTTATGCACCGTTAAGTTTTGTATTCTTTACTTAAATATGGTTATTTGATATTTTATTTCGTTTTGACGCTCTTAGTTTGAAGTTTAGCTGCTAACGATGCTACATGCTAACACACACGGTGAACGATGCTACATGCTAACACACACGGTGCCTCACACGTCCAGCACTGCTTGTAAGAGCGAATAGTTTTTATTTAGTTCAGGAAAAATGACCTAAAAATAAAAATCCAACATTTGTGAATATTTCTGTGGATTTAAAATTAGCGCAACCAAACTTAGTGAAAGCTAATTGGTATGCTAACACTTGCTAAAGTTAGCGGATTAGCGGAACTGAGCCCTCCACTGAAAACAACACAACACGTCAAATGTAGTTTATTATAAAGATGTTTGGTGGATTTGTAGAACAGGACACTTGGTTTGTTTGTTTGTTTGTTTGYTTGTTTGTTTGTTTTAACGTAAACATCTTTCATTGTTGTTTTAAATAGTTAAACCTTTAACCACATGGTTACAGTTTTAACTAAAAGGCAACATTAACCCCAACATTTCCCTAAAACAAACAACGGAACAAAAAGTCCAACCTTTAGCTCCTCCTACAGGGAACAAAAAGACTCCAGGTTAAAAAA